TGAACCTTTTATGTAAACGTCTCAAGTTCCAACCTAACCTCATTTAATTTTGCTTAGCAAAGTACTTGTAACTCTAATAATTAGTAAGAGTATATTTCTTATCTTCTATTGGTCATCTGACCTGATAAACTTCAATTAACATTATAACACAGGACTGATTGTCTCTAAAAATGGGCTCCTGCACACTTGCACAAGGCTCGCGTGCAGAGTGAAGCCGAAAAAAAGTGCGAGAGAGAGGGTGAGAGAAAGAAAAAAAAAAACAACCCACGTGATGGCTCGCGATAAGGAGCCGGCTCATGTCGTTCACGTCAAAGAGCCGGCTCTAAGAGCCATTTCGTTCACGAACGACCCATCACTAGAAGCTACAAGGCAAGATGCCTCAAGTCATTCCAGCTGGTTCAGCTGTAGTGGTGGAGGGAGTTGCCCTTGGCAGGGGCCTTCAGGATGAAAAATCAGTTGTCATTGAGTACCCGTCATCGTCCCCCTTGCCCGGTGGCCTGCTATTTAAAGCCGGTCTGGTTGACTTCCCCCAGCGGCGGCCCCACAAGTTGCCAGTTGTTATAAGCAACGAGTCTGACCACGACATTGTCATCCCTGCCAAGTGTACTATTGCAGAGGTTAGTGCTTATCAGACCATCCTATTAAAGGAACACAACAAGACCAAGCAGTCAGAACCACCACAGAGAACTCCAGCGACTCCGTCCTCCCAAGAGCCCACCATAACTTTCAATTTTGGTGACTCCCCAGTTGCACTGGAATGGAAACAGCACATCACTCAGCAGCTCAACAGCATGCCTGAGGTGTTTGCACAGCATGACCTGGATTTTGGCTGGATGGACCAAGTGCGACATCATATAAAACTTTCGGATGACACGCCTTTCAAACTACGTGCCCGGCCAATCCACCCACAGGACATTGAGGCTGTCCGGAAGCACATTCAGAAACTCCTTGATGCAGGAGTTATCAGAGAGTCACTCATAGTGGTAGTCCAGAAAAAGAACAGCCAAGTCTGGTTGTGCATCGATTATAGGCGTCTAAACCTCCAGACTATAAAAGATCTTTGATGATGATGATGATGGTGATGATGTGAAGTTGAGAGTTGTTTGCCCCGGCGCTTGGGGGTCCCTCCAGACCCCAGTGTTTGCCATCGTAACTTATGAATGTGGATTTGGGTGGCGAAAAACCCCATCGCTAAGGGATCACAGAGAACCCACGGAGCACAGAGCACCCGTGGTCCTCCCGGAGCCCGGTTTACGTGTAACCCGGGGCCCATCCGGCTAAGAGCTTGCGTGCGAGGAGCAGGAGAACGGAGCAGAAAGAGGTAGGAGGACTAGGAGGCAGGGAGAGTCCGAGGTCCTCACGGAGGCCGGTTTACGCAAACACTGCCCTCTGTAAAGCTAAGCGTACACCAGCGAGGTGCAGGAGAACCAAGGAGAAGGAGGAAGGAGGACGAGGAGGAACAGAGAGTCCAAGGTCCTCACTTAGTCTGGTTTACGCAAACACTGCCCTCTGTAAAGCTAAGCGTTCGCAAGCTCGGCGCAGGAGAACCGAGGAGAAGGAGGAAGAAGAAGAAGGTGATGATGTGAAGTTGAGAGTTGTTTGCCCCGGCGCTTGGGGGTCCCTCGATGTTTGCCATCGTAACTTACGAATGTGGGTTGGGGTGGTGAAATACCCCATCGCGATTACTAAGGGGTTGGCAAATACCCCCGAGGCGATGAGACAGGGGTAGCGAAATACCCTAATGCGAATAATGCGGGGTAGCAAAATGCCCCACCGCGACATCAGTAAAGGTAGCGATATACGAGTTACTAAGTGTGTCGGGGTTGCGGACAAATAGCCAGCCAAAAAGACAGACAGGAGCGCACACCACCGACAAGGACATGTCCCGCACCAGGCCGTGAGAGCCGAGGAGGGATTCAGGCGTAGCAGCTTCAACAGCATCAACATCTGTGTCAGCATCGCAAACCTCTCGGGGAAACCGCGGATTCTTTAGCGGAAGAAACTTAGGTGCATCGAGCACTGCTGCTGCTGCTCCTGCTACTCTAGGGCCCCTGCCCTTCGTCCCGTTTCGCGACAATACCCCCACCCTCCCTCACTGAGCCTCTGCACAAGGTCTAGCTGTCCTGCGGCCCGCGAGGGCGGGGTGGGGGTCCGCGTGTTATTATCCCAATAATAAGGGTTGTTACATCAAGCCAAACCTTTGTAAGCCGCAAAGACCATCAAACTCAGAAGTGAGTGGTTGTTAAATGGGACAGTGTAGCCTGCAACAGGGATATTTTGGACAGCATTGTTTGACAGAGACAGGAGGGTTTTTTATATCTATATTAATAATGCAGTATAGCCTACATTAAATATATTATGTATAACCCAGCTGAATGAAAAACAGTGCTTCAATAAAATTTCAAGGCACATGTATTCCAGTTTCAGATCCTAGTTGTATCACTTTATACCATCTTCTAGACTACATTGAATATTTATGTTTGAAAGTTTTAGTAATAGATAATAATAATAGATAATTTAAGTAATGTGAAAAAACATGATCAACCCGACAAGAAGTGTAGCCAAAATGTCTGTATCGCCCCCTGGTGTCTGACTGAGCTATATGTCATACCTCACCCACCACACCCAACCTTCATGTTAGCAGATCGGACAGGAGCAGCTAGAGAAGACATGCTAAGAGGAGAAAAGCACAGTCAGAGTCAGCATGTAGTGCATTGTGGAAAAGATCTGATTGGCCATGTTTTCATCATTCATCAATGCAATGATCCCAAACACACTGCCTAAAAGCATAGCTGGATAGGAAAAGACACAATGGATACTATCAGTTATGGACTGCCTCCTGGCAGGCCAAACCACAACATCATTGAAGCAGTGTGGGATTATCAGAGAACAGAACAAAAGGCAAAAATATCCAAAGAAGAGTTTTGAATGTTCTTCAGGAAACCTGGAGAACTATTCCTGACAACTGCCTAAAGAAATGACAAGAAAGCTGCCTGCGAGAGCTCAGGCTGTGTTTAAGGATAAAGCTGGTCACATTAATTTCCCTAATTTCTTTCGGGATTAATAAAGTATTCTGATTCTGATAAATGTTGACTTTGAAGCTCATTAGAACAGTACAAACTCTGTTCCCCCCCCCCTTATTTCCTGTATTTATCTTTGTTTTTTAAGGGGTTGCTCATGACCTTTGGACATTACTATAGCTATCAAAAGAACATCCTGGAGTGCCCTCCCTCTTTCTCTCAGCTCATTTCAGCACAGATTTTCACTGGACCACCAGGGGGAGCAACATGTACTGATAGAGAACTATTCCTGAGAGCTGAGAGCACCGATGTGGCTGATTCAGGTCAGTGTTACGGTACAGTGATGCAGAATGAAGTCACAGCTCACACAGAGTCTGGGAAAGGCAAGCGTCAGTGTTTTTGTCCCGTGCCTGATATTACCATCATGTTACCATGTGACAGTTTGACATGAAAACATTATGATGCCATATCCAAAAGATAATTTTGAGTTACTGCAGTTGCAGGAAGCTGGTGCTAAAGCAGACCTGTAAGCAGAGACGGACACAAGGTGAGTGTTTTGATAAGTTTTATTTTACTAAAAAAAAAAAATGGGGAGAAAGTTCACATTAACATTTAGCCTCAATATTACAGTATATTGAAATTCTTCTCAAAGGAAGTAAAATACAACATTTTCTTTTCTTTTAACCTTATATTAAAAATATCAAATATCTAGCAGTGCTTGCAGTATTTTAAGATATGCTGCAGGCTTGATAGCAGAAAGGTTGGCTTTATACAGAGCACAGAGGGTTTTCTTTTATGCAGTTATGTATTTATTTACTTTTTTTTCCTTTGCTTTGCAGAGACAGCCTACCTTTTTGTTATCTGGCCTAGTTTGATTGACAAGCTGAACATGCAATGAGGGCAACTACACAAAATCATCCTACAGATTATACCGGTGCAGTAAGACACTTGGAACAGGCTTGCAATGCAACAACAAAAAAACAAACAAACCAAAAAAGCTAAATGTTCCATTCGTTGTGTTCTGTCCAAACAACCGTCATGTCACAGGGTGCCCTCGCTCCTCTACAAAGTGATCTGAAATGAATTCTGGGTGTATTTTCAGTACAGCTTACCAACCATGGACATGGTGAATAAGAAAAGTAGACTAAAAAATAACATCACTACCTGAATAAACTTCAAAAAACACACTCCTTAGAGCATTTCTCTAGTTGCACAGAACTGTACAGGCACACGTATTATATATATTTAAAATAAATAGGGCTAATTTGGCCGAGACTCAGTGAGGAGGGCACTCCTCTCTTGCTTGTCAGTACAGAGAGAGGGAAAAGAAAAATTCCAGCCATTTACTGGGACGGCCGTTTTCTATAATTCTTGTGTTCCCTTAAACACACAAGTACACACACACGTCATGTACATCCACACTGTCATTCAGACACATTGGCCTCCTCCTACCACCCCCCCCCCACCACACACGCACACCCCCTCACACACACACACAAAGCCCAGGGAAGGAAACAAAAATCAGGTGCTAAACATTATTCCAAAACATGTAAATGCCTTTATTTGTGGAATGCCTCTGACCAAGAAAACAAAAACAGAAAGTAGAGTTTGAGTCGACTGGTTTTTCAAATCATCAAACCAGAACTTGGCAAAGGGATGACAACACCCCACACGCCGAGGCATGATCCTGTGCCACTGCGCCAGGCTGTGGCCTCCAGCCCCTTGTCCCCTCCCATTTTCCCCACAGTGGTCCCATAACTCCCTGTCTTCTTGCCAGTGGGAAGCGGCTGGGCTCTCCTCACGTTTACAGGACACGACACATGACTATTAAGACGCCCCGGAAATCTCCTTCACGTGCCCGGCTCCATCTCCTCACAGGACTGGGTGTGGTAGGGTCGGGTGGATGTGGGGTTTAAACGGAAGGGAGATGTGGAAGGGGAGGGCTGGGGGATTGGGGGGCTGTACAGTTGAGACGAGCTGCCTGCTGTGGGCGAGGGAGAGCTGAGGCAGGATTACTGACTGCTGGGGACCAATGTTTGTATGGAGTCTCTCTCTCTCTCACTCTTTCGTCTCCAGGTGAAGCCCTGTGGGAGGTGGCCGGGGATTAAACATCGGTGGAGAAGTAGAGTGTGTTTCGCTTCAGCTCAGCATAGGAGATGGGAGGATGCTGCAGGTAGTAGAGCAGCACCTGGACCTAAGAGAGGAGAAAACAAGGCTGTATGAGTACAGCTTCTGCTGGAACAATTTGCGTTTGGATGAGTGTGAAAATGATCATTCTGGATTTTGTGACAGAAACATTACAACCAACATATATTTTTTTAAATATGGAAGCAGATATGGCTCATGAGCAGGCTGCTGTGATGTGCTTTGCTTTAAAATATCTGAATTTTTACATTTATTTTTATATTTTTACAATTTACAGGGCAGACAAATTGCTGCTGACCTAAAAATGAGTAAGGGAAGGTTGTGGCAGTAAGCCATGGATGGAAGGTCACCTTTGACCATTATTAAAAAGAAAATCAGCTTCATAAACATAGATGAATCCATCAATCTAATGTTCTTCCTCTCTCTGCTCCACAAATTCTCCTTAATCTCCGCTTTAATAACCAGTTTTATCATAAGGGCACATGTCTGGTTAACGCTGTCGCAGCTCATCAGGAAAATCACCTCCTAGCGAGAATGTTGCCACTTTGCTAGGTGGAGGGTCTCTAATTAAAAAAACAAAATAAAAAATACAAAGGAATCCATCACTAAATCACCCAGATTATACTTAGATTACATGCAGGATGAAGCACTGGCCTCATCTGTCTGACGTGTTGTATTCTTAATGCAGTAAACATTTAGACTTTAAATAAGCCTCAGTGCAAACACTGGGCTTCACTGTAATGGACAGATGGGACCGTGCATGTGCACTCTGCCCCCATTTATGATGATTTACTCTGGATGTTGTTTATTCTGCCAAGCGGAGCTATTTGTGAACAGGAAACACATCTCTTTGCAGAGATGAATGGATCGCCTGCAGTCTAAATACAGCTGGGGTGGGGTGGGTGGGGGTCAGTGACATTGGTCACTGGGTGATGTGGGAGTGAAATTCATCTGCAGATCACAAGCAGCAGCTGTGATACGCACATACGCACCAATTTAACATCGACTACTTGTACCTGCTAGGCCAATCGATTTTTTTTTTATCTCAAATAACAAAATGCAGCTTTGTATTCAACTTTCAAAAACATCCATGCACCTGTGCCATGACGTCATGTGACCAGATGTCAGAAGCGGAGGTGATGTGCTGTCCCTTCGCGCTCTCTGACTCTGAGGGCCTGAGCAGAGTGGGGCCGAACACGGTGGCCAGGTTATGAAGGGACATCTTGTTGATGGGCTCCTTCTCAGCCACCCTGCAGAAACAACAACCAACAAGCACCGTTAGATTCTCTGTGATGAGCTTAGTCTTATGTATAAAAGTGACTGGAACAGGTTAAACATTTTTGTAAAGAAAAAAGCGAATAAGCACGATTAAAGAATAACAAAAAGTGTGTGTATTTGCGTGTCTGTGTACCGTTTGAGGTGCTCCAGCAGCGTGAGGAAGGTCATGATGTTGGGGTCAGGCAGCGAGCGCAGGAGGTGCATCATGCAGTTCTCCTTGGCTGCTGGGTCTGAGAGAGCTGTGAGAGAGGGAGGAAGAAGATGTCAGATTCAATTATGGCAAGACGGCTTTCTAACAGTCCTCATCTTCTCCAGTTGGTCAACTGTAACTCACTTTGGCAAAAGTCTAAACACACACACTTCCTGGAATGAATGTAAGAGCTCAAAGGTCGCACCTATGCCCTCCATGAAGGCGGGATAGAGGCGGTCAGTGAGAAGAGGCTCCGGCAGCTCCCTGAAGTACAGCTTCAGCGTTCCTGCAATGGCGTTGATGTCCATGTCGCTCAGCATCACCAGGATATCTTTGGTATCTGTAAATCAGACACAAACACTTATCACATTATTCAAGTTTTACACTTGATCTCTGCTTCCTCCGTCTCCAGGACTGAGGCGACCCCGCATGCATTGGTGTTTGACTTTTGTTTGTCACATCAGAGTGGATGCTAGGCCCTGCTCAGTCACATCTCAGCGAAGTAAAAGCAGCTGTGACCACAAAGATTCTTATGCAACAGGAGACCTTGAACACGATACAGCTGCTGCTCCTCATCTGTCCTGGATTGCCTGACTGTCAGTTTTCACTAATCCCTCATCTAGAGTGCTAAAGCAAAGACCTCAGTTACTAAAAACCCGGCTGCAGAATTTTTTTACGTCTAAAAGCAGCATAAGGTGCTGCGTTTTTAGGAAATTACTGAGAAAAAATGGGGTATGGTGGGATTGTAATGCGGGGGCAGCCGGTTTTGTGTTAAACCTATCGCCTTACTGACTCTCACATGACCCAAGTTCAGGACACATACAATAAAAGACAAATGGTGATTTATTTTTTTTGCTGTGTGGATCATTTTATAATGTTTGCCAGTAACATCTGTAACCTGGTTGTTCATACGTGATTCCTGCTGAACAGAGTGAGCGAATTAATCGCTGTGCTGGAAAACAGAGTGAGCCCTGCAGAGTGTCCTCATACAGTCTGTCTGCGGTTTCCTGTCAGTTTCAGCTGTTCGCTGCAGTGAGACCAGTGTTTCTGACAATGTGCAGAGTGCACTGGGCGTCTCACAGATTTTTAAAAGCAAAGTGCAAGAACACAGATGACTCATGTGTTCTGCTGAAAATCAGTATAAGACTTCACTGATACTGAACTATTGTTCTTGTGTCTGTATCTGACCAGCTTCAGAGGAATGTTTTTTTCTTTGTTAAGCCACTTCACGCCAATCTGTGAATCACTCAAGCATAAAAAAGGCATCTAACTCAGGGGACGAACCATTGTTGTGTCTACACATAACAGACAACTTAGCAAAGAGTTTATTTTATCTTTGGATCTTTAGGTACTTTGTTGCTAGCTGCATTTGGCAAAACACAATTTGCCCCCATTTCTTTAGTTAATCCATCTACTGTTCACTGAAGCTTCATCAGAAATGGTCTAAGTAGACGGATGACTGTTGCTGAGGTATGCCAGATTACACAAGAACTGAACTGAAAGTCAGCAGCAACATCTTTAGGATGATGCAATACTATCAGTCATAGACTGGCCTCCCTAGATTGTGGATCTCGACATTACTGAAGCAATGTGGGATCATCCTGTCAGAGAACATCCAAAGAAGAGCTTTGAGTGTCCTTCAAGAAGCCTCTTCCTACTGTTCCTGGGACTTCTAAGAGAAATTACAAAAAGGCAGCTTAAAGTAAGAAAGTTCAGGCTCACATGACGAATAAAGGTGGTCATAACAAATATTAACTTTTAAGTTTCAGAATCATACAAACTCTGTATTTAGCTGTATCTTTGCCTCTCAATAAATTATTGCTATTTGGAATTTTCCTAGAGCAAAAGAAATGAACTGTGGCTCATGACTTTTGCACAGTAGTGTATAAATCTAAATGTCATTGCACATATTCTGCATCACAGAATCACCTCTACTGCATTGCAAAGAGAAAGAACAATAAACGATATTGTCGTGCAGTAAAGACGATGGGAGGAAGAGCGTGTCACACAGAGACAGTGAATGGAGTCTTACTGGTATCGAATGCTGATTTGAGGGCCTGGATATCAGTGGCCACCCCTGAGATCCTGTAGATTCCCACTTCATCGATCCCCCTCTTCTCCACCTCCTCAATGCACTGACGGACTATGTAAGGCACCTTGGAGCGCTCGCGCCTGTGGACAAGCACAGCAGTTATTTTCTGATGACTGAACTGGGCTTTCACATCTTCATCACAGGCGCCATGAAAACAGTTGTTTCTTTTCATGAGACGGGAACTTTTCTCATCATCTCACATACACATCAATGAATGCCTATTCATGAAACTTTCAATGTCTCATTCTATCATTTAGACACATGAGCTCTGAGCCCTTTTCAGTCTCAACAACAGGAACAAGCTTACTTTGTAACAACGTTGATTTTGACTCCAAACACGCCACTCTGTTTTTTGGACGGCGTTCTCTTTAAGCTGAGGTCTCGACTTGTAAACTTCATGGAGAATTCCACTTTAATCTGAGGAGGAACAAACAACATTAAGAAGGCAAAACTGAAACTCTGGGATTGTTACGAGTCACTTTGTGTGCGACGACTGACATCGGTTTTTTTTTTAATTAATTTTATTTCTGTGTCTGGTTTCTGCTATCTTATTACTAAGTTTATATTTGTATTGTACAGCACTTTGGTCTACCAGGTGTGTTTTTAAAGTGCTATATAAATAAATGATGATGATGATGATGATCTTTAAGCTAATCATTTTAATATATGGAGAAAAAAACCTAAAATAAAAGAAAAATTTGTGGAAAAAAGTTTATGGAAAAATAAATAAATCAAGATTTCCTTTGTATATATTTAGTTATTCTATTCAAAATTCTGTCTGTACAAATCTCCGACCTTGAAGGCTTTATTTACTGGACGAGTCCAAGCTAAAAGTCCCTCTCAGATACTTACCCCATTCATCTCTATGACATCCATGTGCCAGTTCTTGGACTGCACAGTCTGAGGATCCAGCTGAAAGACACAACACAGACAGAAACATGGTTGTTAACATTTTTGAGAAGCCTAAATAAGGACATGACTAAATTCATACTGGGATTTTCCCAGGAACAGAAAAATTGCTTAATCACATCATCAGTGAGCCGTCGCTCCCTTGGACAACTCGACATTTCTCAATACAACACACAGAAAGGAAGAAAAAAAAAAGCCTGGCAACAGTATCTGTACATTTCCTCGAAGCCTGCTCACTTCATTCCAGCGTACCCACGGTGGGTGTTGTGACCAAACCGGACTTTGCCACCAGGGAAATTCTTTTCCCACATAAATCCTCAGGAATGTTTGTTCTTGTAGTACGGAGATAGAGTCTGCTTTTATGCTTTTATCTGTCTCTAAATAAAACCTGAGAAAGCCTTAAATTTCCATTCTAAAACAGAAAGTGGTGAAGCAAAAGTAACCGTCCTCGTGTGTTTGACAGAGAAATGCCGATTTCACCTCTTTACATTTCACTAAAGAAGAATCCCAGTAAGACATTCAAGTATGATCTGACACCTTTGGGGTTTTGTAGCTACAGAGAATTAAAACATAATTAAAACAACTGAAAAATATCTCCAAAATTATAACCACATGGAGCTCAATGTTCGGTTTTAGTGGAGGATAAAATAAGGAAACTGGAGACATGACTGCACTACCCGAAGCCCAGGCAAAGTAATGCTTGTAACACCGGGCTCTAACATAGATGCTGGACAATAAACTGAAGGCAGTAAGTTTATCGTCCCACAACTTTTTCGCTTCTGCTGCCCTTGTACGCCTTCAGCAGTCTCTCAGGCGTCGAACGAGGGCTCCAGATTGACTGAGACACTTCTCCTGGTTCACCGCACATATTCTCAAAGCGTGGCTCTCACGTCTCTCAGTTAGGCAGCACAGACAGCTTGTTGTTGTTTTAAGTCTCCTGGAGTCTGCGCCCGCTGTGCGAGGCCACAACAGCTAATGCCTTTTTTATAGTTTCAGCATCTGCACTACTCAGTTATGTCATCGCAACCCTGCACAGCGATGTGCTTAACGTAGAGGAAAATTACTCTTGCTGGGTGAGCGCAGGGGTAGCGCGCTCCTCTTATTGTCGGCATTAAAAGTTTTTAGTGAGTGTATTTCATTACCTCGTAAAAAGGCCATTTGGCACCGGTTTCACGCATTCCTATTATCGCTAAAGCCTGTTTTCCCAGCAGTGTTTGGGCTTCAGACGAGGGACAGGTAATCACTGCAATCGGGGCTTTACACAGCAACTGCTGAGAAGGGAACCGGGCAAAGATCCAAGGCTCACTGATGACGCCTCTTTAAGCCCCCCTGAAGTAAACTAATTGAAAAAAATAAAAATAAATATCCTACCCATTTCCTCCTCATTACTCTGCTCATTTCTAAAAATCCTGATTAAAAATGAATGTACTCAAATAGGGTTGTAAAAACAAAGAGGGTCCATTACAGCCATTTGTATACTCAGTGACCCTGTCCAAGCCTGTATCCACAACTGGGCCGTTTATTAAAAAATAGCTGAGAGGAACTTGCTCCCCCACTCGCCTGCTTCCCTGAGTTTGAGAGGAGGCCTGCATGAAGCAAGCTTTCATTTACTTTATAGTATTTCATTCAGAATAAAGCACAAAATGTCAGCGGAGGATGAGTTCAGTCAGCTGGTCTAACAGCAGAGGGAGGATTTAAGGTTTTATTCCGAGTGACAGCTCGCAGTCAGGGAACCTTCAGGAAGATGGCAGGAGGTAACAGAGTTGAGACTTGATATGAGAGACGTAAAGAAGAAAAAAGACGTTTGCTCCCATATAAAAGAATCCAGCTTTTATATGGGAGCAAGTGTGCGCACCGAGTATGAGGTACAGCCGGTTTACTTCCATCCGGCCGTATATGTGCACGTCCCACTAACTCTGTACTCTGTGTGCTTAAACACACTAACCCTCATTTATCTGCTCTCCTGCATGTTTGAGCGTATTGAAATGAACATAACGGGAAGCATGCGGCCGCCGTGTGATTCGGTCCATTTGCAGAAACCTACAGAAAAGTCACGGTTGATTTGAGTACCCTTTTTTCTGCATGTTGCTGGACTCTAGGTCAGTCATGGAGAATACAGGCTTTGATATCATGACTAAGAGTCTCCAAATAAAGAAGCAGGCAGACATGTACATGCAGTTTGAACAGAGTACAGGCTGTGCTCTACTCAGAATGATCTACAAGATCAAAGCTGATAAGTCATTCTTTTGTGCTACTAAATGGTTTCTTTTACACCGACAGGGCAGAATGTGGTTATCAGTCACACAGTATTACTCAGACTTGTACTCTGGATTTCAGTTTTACTTTTCAAGAAAAAGAAAAAAATCTTGTTCCCGCCCAGTTTTGAACCGGGGACCTTTTGCGTGTTAGGCGAACGTGATAATGACTACACTACGGGAACTAACTGAGAGCCCTCCCCCCTCCCCTCTGGAAATATAATCCCGCCCTCCACCCTGCTGTGGATCTGAGACTGACAGCAACAACACAGGGGCAATCAAGGGTCTGCATCCCCTATGGAGCTGCTCAACACATGCAGCGCTACAAAGAATCTTGATGCATCGGTGTACATCATGCACGATGTTCTCTGTGCACAGGGATCCCTCTTTCCTGTCCACAGGAACACTATACATGAAAGCATTTTCATCTGACAAGCGTGACCGATGCGGGTCTGTGAAAGGACAGTTGTTTGCAAAACTACGTTTCAGTTAAGTGCAAATTTGTCACCAATATGAACATTTAGTATCACATGCTGCTCAGATTTAGTACAACTAAAGAACGGTGTTTGGACACTTGTTTGTTTTGTGTGATTATAAATTTATGTAAAAGCAAGAGCTGAATAATGCAGACCAAAGAGAAGGAAAACAGCGGCAGAAGCCTGAACCAAACAGTCAGGTACAAAGTGATGTGTAAAGCCAAACTAATGAAATCTCTATAGACTTAATTAGCTTATTGTTGCTGTGCTTGGAGAGGTAATGCGTGCTGGCGACAACACAGCAAAAAGCATAACTTGATCTTTTGATATGCTAAATTAATGAATCGCTGTTTAATTTGTCCTTTGTGTTTCATCACACTTTTTCACCACTGCTTCTCTGCCTGATTAAATATTCATTCAGCTGCAGAAAGCTTTTTATTAGTCCTTTAATTAGAACGTGGTGCTAACTGCGCGGCTCCTTGGATTTAGCAGGATTACAGGAACCGTGCGCACAGTGACTGAACCTTCATTTCATTTTTTTTTCTTTTTAATTTCCAGCTAACACATCCTGCAGCAGCAAAGTTGCTCCTGCTCCATAAGCAACAGGACTATTTTTGGATTCGTGAACCATAATGTTTATATGACTCTTTACTCAACAGCTGCTGATGTCAACGAGGCCATGGGAGGTCTTTGACTCGGTTGCCATGTTGCCTTCTGCCCTCTCTTCCTAGTTTGGGCCAATCGGCAGGGATTTTCAACTGAATGAGAGTTGTGATTTGCAGACTAGTCTTTTATCTCTGCCAGCAGTGTGTGATTCTCATCCAGCGCCTGTAAGCAGCGACACACAGATGAGTACTACACTTACGCAACACCATCCTTGCCTGCAGCAGAGCGGAGCACTGATACTGAAACGCAGAAAAACATAAAGGGGTGAAATATTCCTTTAATATTCGGAGTCAAAAACAAACACCTCCTTTATTTTCCTTAAAATACCCTTATGATCAGTTTTTTATGATTTCTTCATTGTGCTGCAGCATGAACGTGCTCAGGAAAAGACCGAAATCTCTTCAAATTCACGTGATTTCAGGAACTTTGTTATTGACCAGTGTCATCTCTCGTTTCCACATGGAGGAGAGACACAGTCAAAGACTACTTTGTTTCATTTACTTTGACATTTTATCATTTAAATGCACCGTTCCCACCATCCAAAGTCTGTCAACTGTAGCCATGGCAACTAACCTCCCAGCTAATGTGAAAAAAAGAACTGGAGTAAGATTCAACTGAGCAACTATGCGAGTTTGTTTTCCTGATTATTTAGTAACTTTTCATCGCATTACTTTTGCTGCTCAGGCTCACAGCATGTGCTTTATGTTTACCAGCAGTGACAAATACACTTTTAGTGACCATATCTTTATAGATACCTGCATGCAAGGGGCAAAAATAAAGTGCACAACACTACGGTGATTAATAGCACATCCCCAAAATCTCACTCCGTAATTAGATGATTAATGCCTTTGTGTCACTGTAAGGAGATTAAAGGCTATTTGCATGCTGGCTGCTGCACAGCCAGAAGCAAGGGGGTCACTGTGGGCATCAACCTGAGAATGCTTTACTGACCTGCCACTCCCCTCCTGGAGCCCATTAACCAATCACAGATCTTGCACACAGGGGGGGATGAATTGGGGCCAATAAAGGGCCATGCCCTCCGGTGGAGACAGGAGGAGATTTATGTGGCCTATATAAAAAGGCCATTAGGGGAGTAGATGGCATTTTAGGCACACAGAAAGGATGAAATGCTAATATCTCGTCTGCACCAATCAACATACTAAAATGGAGAGTATAATTTCCATATGGGAGCTGAAATGCTGCAAGGGTAAGAGGTAGGATGAGCGAGTGGGAGGGAAGATGATAATGGTCGGATGCGATTCTCCTCGATGGCTTAGTCTGCATTGTTCTCTGCACTAAGCTGGCTAAAAGTCCACAAAAAGGAGGGAAAAACAGAACACAACGCAAAAGCTACAACCCCACATCCCAGCCTCAAGGCTATTTGCTCCTTTGTTGCGACACATCAAATATATTGTGTCTAGTTCTACACCAATTAGCGTTTTCCAGCCAGCTTCCCATCTCATCACACTGTGTCTTAATTAGGCGCTGCTTCCAGCTCACGTAGGGAGCACAATTCCCTGGTGTACTTCCGTGCCCTCACCTATCCTTTTCATTCCTCTAAACACCCAGTAAATAACATGATGCATGCCACAGATGCACAGACAGA